GCCCCTAATAAAATGATTTTTTTTTAAAAGAGAGACCTTCTATACAGTACAATGTGACCAGTGCCTGGTCCTGCAATCATAGCTGTTTGAACCCATTTGTTTGTAGCTACTGCTGTATCGATCCAACTCTTAAGGATCTTCTTCAACCAGGTCATGGTATTTTCAACAGCAAAATGTCTCATATTTTCCAATTTGTATGCTGAGCAAATCATCAGAGAAGCTGGATTATCTGAAGAAGAATAATGCATCGGGTTTGGAAGAATGCTTATTTACAACCTTCCATATACACAGGTACCACAACTTTGCTTGGTGAAAGTAAGGAGGACTTAAAGCACTTCCTGATGAAGATCAAGGATTTCAGCCTTCAATATGGATTACAACTTAATGTAAAGAAAACCAAAATCAGGGAAAGTTAGCAGGGGCCGCTCCCTCTTCCCTGGTAGCTTAGTGGTACTATTCTTGCCCACTACTGTAAGATGCCAGGGTTCGACTCCCGAGTAAATTTAAGAAAAAAGAAAGAAAGAAACCAAAATCCCCACAAAAGGTAGTATCATGAGAAAACTATTTGGTCTAACTGCCAAGGTCAGCAGTTTGAAACCACCAGCTGCTCAGAGGGAGAAAGAAGGACTATCTACTCCCATCAACAGTTAACAGTCTCAGAAACTCGCAGTAGTTCTACCCTGTCCTCTAGGGTCATTATTAGTCAACATCAACTCAATAACAGCGAGTTATTCAAAATAACTGAAATTTAAAGGTATATTAAAAAAGAGAAAAATATACAAAATACCAATTTGGGATGGATAATTTTCACACATTTCTCAGTCAGTTGTAAGAGAGAGAAAGAGCACATATTTTTAGGAACAATAATGTCTACTTTGCAGTCCAGGGAATATTATAAACTTCATTGAAACACAGATCCCTTTCAACAATCGAAACTAAATTTTTTAAGTTCCTGGGACATATTCTAAACAGTATTAGAAATAAAAAAATAATTTTAAAACCAGAAATGTAAAGTTAGCAAATATGCAGATTTAACAGGAACTTTACTAACTTAAGACTCATCTTCATCTTTATAAACAACTTAGAGAAATTATGTGACAGCTAAAAGTCAACAGTATGGTTGACTTAAGCTAAGAAATAATGTATAATGGAGACTCAATAATCTGATTTAAAGCTTAATGCATTTTAAAGCAACTATTCCCTCTGAAAATCTTTGGGTTATATTCTGTCACAAATCTACGCTGCTGGTATCCTTACATCTATCTCAGATGGCTTTCCCTAGCTTATAATCATTGTCCTTAGTCCTCTCTCCTAAATATAGTGTCACCACTTGGCATGAGATTATAGACAGGGGTTAAAATATAATTTCAATCCACAGAGTTCAGTACCAAATAGGAACAGCCAATCAACACTCCCCTTATAAGAAATAAGGGCACAGGCACTAAATAATTAAAAGTGTTTCTTAAAAAGCAGTAACTAATTAATAACAGGACAACCCAATGCCTCCATTTTTAGCAATCTACACCAGTAATTCTCAAACTCTGGCATCACAATCACTAGGAGAGCTTGTTAGAACAGACTGCTGGACATGACTCTCAGAGACTTTGATTCAATATGCTACTAAGGATCTGTATATCTCACAAGTACCTGAACAATGCCAATGTTACTGATAGGAGAACCACTCACCTACATACACCACCTATAATACAGTCAGAAGGCCAACAATAAAGCTATCCTAGAGTACACTATAGAATAAGGTGACCAGATTTTAACATTGGTAAAGCAGGACACCATCGATAAAAACTCATATCCTGGCAAAATAGCCACATGGCAGCTGAAAACCATATACCCTAGCTTGTCGTGCATTCTTTCCAAAAATCGGGACTTTTAAAAAAACGCCACAGGACGCAAGAAAAATTGTTAACAATCCGGACTGTCCTGCCAAAAGCAGGACGTCAGGTCACCTTACTATAGAAGTGTGGTGTTCTATATAGGTTCTCACACTGAGAGGCAAGTACATACTAGTTTGATTCTCTTCCAAATTCCTCATTATGACTATTTTTAGCAATCTCTTGAGGAAATAAATTCACCAACATTTTTCCATTCAATCATGTGCCTGGGATTTAAATAGCTACTACTACCTCTGTCCAAATTGCTGTTAAGGGAACTAAAAAACCAAATCCATGGAACTAAAATCCCAAATCCACTGAGTCGATGCCAATTCATGGTGACTACCAAGAAGAGTAGAAATCATAGGGTTTTTAAGGCCATAAATCCCTATGGAAGCATATTAACTCATCGATTTCTTCCATGGATTGGCTGTTGGTTTAAAACTATTGACCTTTAGGTTAGCCACCCAACCCGTCCCTAATCAAGTACCCATTCACAGTGCATTGCCAATCTATTATCGGTATGAAATCAACACACATGTCCACAAAAATACTAAGATAAGGCAGTAGGGTCTTTTGATAAACAAGCATTTAAAGTGACCTTAAAAAAATAACAAAAATAAAGTGTCCTTGAAAAATATCCACATTCATTCACTCAACAATATTAAAAAGCTCCCTGGCGGTCTAATTATATCAGTAATTTTGTACCCAAAGCGGCACATTGTTTCACATAAATTTTGTTGTTTTATATTGTAGGCCTGTAATTCTTAAGAAATTACTCATTTTAATCTCTCTAGTAGACATTCCAGGTATGATAAATTTTAACCTCCCTGGTGGTCTAGTTATGTCAGTAATTTTGTTAAGGGACTTCTCTGCAGTGTAATCCCGAGTGTGGCTCGGGGTTACCGCTTCTGACAGTTAACATTTACCCCGAGCCACACTCAGGATTACCTACAAGCAGGTTATTAAACAAGAACCTACTTTGAGCTAGTTATGGGCACTGGGTATAAATTAATGATAAGTAACTCAGAGGTCAGAGTCTAGTGGATGGAAAAAAATAGATTGCATACAACA